TAAACTATTGATTATAAAATATGAGTGTGGTTTTATAGATAAATTATATCAGATAATTTCAAAGAAAAATTTTCATGTATGTTTGAAGCATAAAATGTATGCTTGAAATATATTTATAGATGAGACCCATAGAAGGATTACTTTGAAATATTCAGATTTGTTACTGTGCATTAGTTAAGCAAAAAAAAAAAAAAATTGACCAATCTCCATATTTTATTATCGACTTGTACGGATAAAAAAATGTAGCCATATGTCATGCTAACGATCCAGGAGAAGGGAAAAACTAACTGGCACTCTTTTTAACTGTAGCACTGAGTGACTCATGAGGCCTAGATGTCACTATTATATTTGATGAGAAATGCATATTAGTACTTTAAAAATGGAAGTTGATGGCTTCAATCACCTGTTAACTCAGGACATATGGGGGGGTTCACTTCTAGTTTCATAAATTCTATTTGTATTCCACTTTTTGCTTTCTGTGTTACACTTGACTGGTAATAATAGACTATTTTTTTCCCCCTGTGGAAATTTCTTTGATTGTCAGTTTATCTCCAAGGGCATAATCATAATATATCAAAAAATAATCATGTAAATTATAATCATCATCTCACATTTTCCAGAATATTTTTAATAATGTTGATTTTTTAAAAATATTGATTGGGACTTTCTTGGCTTGGGATAAGGTAATTATAAGCAAATTGTTGTATTTGATATGTGCTTAGCTTAAATCCAGGCTTATAGCAAGACTTGGTATCGGTGCCATTACAAGGAAGTGGCTTATAGTTTTGCCTGGGAAAAATTCTTTGTTTAAATTATGCTGAACTTCTTGCAATTTTTAAATTGAGATTAGGTATGGTAGAAGATTTTTACCTACTCATAGGTACATAAAATAAGTATACAGACTGAGAAAGGAAATTTTTTAATCTTGAGGTTTAAGTATGTACTCCTAAAATTATAGTTACTATTTAAAATGTTGAAAAATATATGTAGCCATGCCTTTTGTACTGACTAATAGAAGTGCAACATTATATTATACTAAAATATTCATTAAAAAAGCATTGTTTGTACATTTTTACTACATTTACATCTCTCAGATTTTACATCTGTCTTCTTTTCAATATTGATCAGAAGATTTTCTCCATATATTTTTTGTAATAGTAGGCTTTTTTTTCTTATTTTATCATTATACAATGTAAATGTTTTTTGTGTCCCGTTACCAATATCTCCTAACCACCCCTCTCCCTCTAACTTTTCTGAGGACGTGATCAGAGGAAGGAAATCAGTATGGTAGATGGGAGCCAAAAAAATCAAAGCATAATTGTGCCCTTTATAAGTTGTAACATTCAGGGCAGGGAAATATAATATTCAAATCCATTAGAGGGATTTTTTTCTCTTCTGGTGTATACACATGAAATTATAAATTCATTATGTGTTTAAATTTTCTTTTTCTCTTCAGCGCACTGATTTTATTTACTTTGGATATATACCCAGAAGAGGGATTAATTACTAGATTATATGA